ACAGATAGGAAAATTAAAACCGTATGTGGCTAATGTAGCAATGAACTTAGGGGGACATGATTTGTTGCAGCAATGGAAAACTCAGATTAACCTTCCTCCAATCTCAGAAACAAACCATAAACTAAGGTATGCTTTTTAGAAAAATATTAAGAGTTATTATCAAGAACAGCCACCAACCCTTCAGGTTATGAATAAGAAGGGCATACTAGCTGCTGAACTTTCAAAGGTACCAACATCCCTACCTTTAAAATGGTTAACTGACAAACCTGTCTGGGTGGAACAATGGCCTTTAACATCAGAAAAATTACAGACATTAAAACAGCTGATAGAGGAGCAGCTGAATGTTCAACATATTGAAAAATTGACCAGTCCTTGGAATTCTTTTTTATTTGTCATCTATGAACACCTTGCTTACAATCTCTTTTCAAATGACCTTGTTTGCCACAATTAAACCATCTAACCCTTTGATTTTTCTTAAAATGTCTAGATATTACTTCTATCAAAGTAGCATCCTATCAAAAAAAGCATGAGATACAATGTAGTTGGTTGTTTTTACTCATTGCTGTTTAGGGGCCCACCACCCAGCTCCCAAATAAATACATGGAGACTTATTCTTACTTATGAATGTCAGCTCTTAAGCTTGTTTGTAGCCAGTTTTTCTTAATTATCCAGCCTACTTTTGCCTCTGGGCTTTTACCTTTCTCTATTTCTGTATATCTTTCCTATCCTTCTTATTCCGTGTCTGGCTGTTTGGGTGGCTGTCCCTTAGCATCTCCTCTCCTCCTTCTTTTCTCACTCCTCAATCTTCTCTTTCCAGATTTCTCCTCCTATTTATTCTCTCTGCCTGCCAGCCCTGCCTATCCTTTCTCCTTCCTAGCTATTGGTCATGTTTTAGACAGGCAAAGTAACACAGCTTCATAGAGTTAGACAAATGCAACATAAAACAATGCAATACATCTTTGCATTATTAAACACACATTCCACAGCAAAACAAATATAGTGCACCTTCAGCTAATATTCCACAGCAATCCAGTATCTGCTGTATTTCTAATTCATTCATCTATTGATGCTGATCTAGCCTTTGAAAGTCTAATCACCCTTTTACATTCTGAATTAGCATTTTCAAAAGCCAAAGATTCAATTAATATTCATTTGACTTCTGAATCTGATACTATTCTGCTTATAGCTGAAGTCAATCTTTGAAAAAAAAAATCAGTAAAGGCTTCTTTTGGTCCTTGTATATTTTTAGTAAATGTCTGAGATCTCTTTACTGATTCTTCAACCTTGTCCCAAGTATTCAAAGCTGCTAAACAACATAGGGCCAAGGTGTGGTCATCAAAGTCAAGCTGCCTTTCCAATTCAGCATATTAGCCCTCACCTAGAAACTGATCTGAGGAAATCTTAATGTCTCTAGCCCTATTTCATTGTTCTATGACCATAACTTCCTCTGTCCACCATGTTCGACATTGTATCTGAGGAACAGCTTCCAATATTGTTGTTGCCAAATCTCTCCAGTCTTGAGGGATAACTCTGTTCTGAGTTGCCAATGAATTTAACATCTGCTTCACATAGGGTGAATGCATACCATATGAAATGTCTGCTTCCTAAATCTCCTCATACCTAATATTTGTATAGGCTTCCATTTAACTTCCTCATAACCTTGAGGATGCCCATCATCTGCTAGCCATTCCTGTATAATTGCTGGATAAACTAAGGCTGGTTTTCCAGTAACCTGGGCTGCCCCTCTTCAGTTTCATCATACAGTGGAACTGTAGGTTCTGGTCTAAATTCCTCTTTCTGTGTCTGACTATTTTTCTTATTTTCATTAGTACGTCTTTCTAAGGCTTGTATCTTATCTGTCAAATCTGTCTTATTTTCATTAGTAAGTCTTTCTAAAGCTTGTATCTTATCAGTCAATTTCTCATATTCAACACAATTATTAAACCACTTTTTATATTTGGCATAAAAAAACACTGTGGCTACAAAGGATAAAATATTAATTTCCAAACTGATAGTAGTTATAATCAGCATTGTGTCAATCCTGGCTAAATCATTTACCCCCTCATTTACTGCTTCCATTTGCAAGCCATCCATAGGAGCACTATACAGGGTCCTAATGCCCTGTATTGTGATATTTCCCATCCTTAGCATGGGACAGGTTTTGCTTTTTAGTTTACTTAACTCTCTCCTTAAGGACTTCCCAGTTGTCTCGCCAATTCTGATGACTTCCCCGTTTGTCTTCAGCAGAAGTAGTGGTGGCAGCAGGAACACACAGGACACAGTGTCCCATGTGCATGTTTGGAGGCGTGGTGGCAGCAAATGCTGCGTGCTGGCTGGCATGACCTTATGCCACGGGTTAGAGTGACAATTGTTGTTTTTAATCTAAATATATATCTTACGATTTTTACCAACAAAGATTCTGAATTCAGAGGCTGGGGTGAAAACCTGCTAGCTCAGAGAGGTTCAGGAACAACTAGCTGACCTTCCTCCTTCACTGAAATCTCAGAAAAAGCGGGTTTTTCTGCCACCCCAAACCAAAAAAAGACCACCACAGTCAAAGTCCCTCCCTATTACTTCCTGTGCATCTCTCTATCCATCTTCTGGACTCCCTCTGACTCTCTATGACTACTTTCTGTCAACTAGTTGCTGGCTCTGCCTCCTGACCCAAGGCTGATTTTATTTAATTAATGCAGTCTTAGGGTTCACAGTGTGATTGAATATCCCACAAGAACAGAGACCATTTCATATTAATGTTTATTGATTAATAGCTAAATTATGGAATCAATCTAATAGTCTTCTAACAGAGGTGTGGATTATAAAGAATTGGTGTATATTCACAATGGATTTGGTTTCAGCAACAAAGAGAAATGAAGTTATGTTGTTTGCAGAATAAATCAATGCAACTAGAGATAATCGTTCTTAGATTTCATATATACATGAAATTACATATGTCTAGAGGAACAAATGGGCCTAATAGGGGGAATGGAATAAAAGAAGGGAGGGGTAGATGAGGGGAATAAACTCAACATACAAAATATATTTGAATGAAAGTCTTCATATGTGACATAGTTCCATTTACAATGAATATAAACAATGAAAATTTAAGAAGCAAATAACCAACAATAACAGAAAAAGGACCATGATATTTATACACAGAGAACTCAACAGCTCTCTGATAGGACTGAGTACAGTGGGAACTCATCACATGAAGATGCTGTAATGAACCCCATTGTCCACGAGGCCATCTTTGGCTGGAACACTAGTTTCTTTAGGGTATAACTTGGTCTTATTAATTTGACAGCCTCCAGGTTTTGCACAGGGCCTAGAAAGCAGTGACACACCAAAACTCCAGTCAAAGGAAGGATAGGACAAGAAAGGTTCACAAGGAGATTGAATTAGGTATTTCAAGTAAGAAAGAGTCTTCGAGGGTAACAGTGCAGATAGAACTGGGAGAAAAGAAGCCAAGGAACAATTCTGAGCAAAGACCCCAAGGATTTGAGAAATAACATAAGCCAAATAGTTTGGTTTATTTGGAGAGTAACCCTGGAAGAGAGATATGATTTTTATTGTCATCAACCTGAGAGAATCACTTGGGAGATGGGTCTCTGGGCATGCCTGTGGGTGTTGCATGAATTCTAAAATGGTCTTACAATAAAAAACCAGAGCCAGATATTGGGGTAAATGCTGAAAGATCAGAGAGACAAAGGAACAAGCCACTAGAGAAACTTCTCACCACTACCGAATCCTCAGACTGAAAGGGAGGTAAGATCCTGTCTCCACAAATCCTCAGATTGAATGGCCCTGAGTCCTCAGCCGAAAGGGCTCTAGTTCCTGTCTCCTCACACCTTATATGCCTTTCTCCATCCAGCCATTTCACTTCCTTCCCAGTGCTGGGATTAATGGCATGTGTGCTTCCCAAATACTGGTAGCAAAGGCATGAGATCTCAAGTGCTGAGATTAAAGGTGTGTGACTCCCAAGTACTGGGATTAAAGGTGTATGCCACCACTGCCTGGCTCTGTTTCTCTCCTAGACTGAGTCAATCTCATGTAGTCCAGGGTAGCTTTGAACTCACAGAGATCCAGACGGATCTCTGCCTCCCAAGTGCTAGGATTAAAGGTGTGTGCCACCACTGCCTGATTTCTATGTTTAATCTAGTGGCTGGCTCTGTCCTCTGATCTTCAGGAAAATTTTATTAGAGTACAACAAAGTATCACCACATGTAGGGGATTGTCTTGGAAGACTTGCCCACTGTGGGTGGAACCATTCTCTAGGCTGTATAAAAAAAAAAAAAGGAAGTGAACCAACCAGCAGTTTGAATTTGTCCCTCTCTGTTTCCCAATTATGAATGTAATGTGAGCAGACGCTTCATGCTCCTGCTGGCTGACCTGATTCCCCTGCCACGAAGTACTTGAACTGTGAGCTAAAAAATACCTTTTCTACTTTAATATACTTTAGTCAGAGTATTTTATAATAGCCACAGACAAAGTAAGGAAGACAAGGGAAGTGTAGGTCATTGGACTGAATAAATGCGAATGAGCCTAGGTCTTGGAAGGGATTGCTGCCATCCATTGGGGGATTAGTACAGTACTGATTATAGATGTGAGTTTAGAAAGACAGCTCTTATGACAATGGAGAGGACTGATCAGGGTAGGATATGAAGACTAGACTAATGTTGTGGGGAGATAAAGAGATAAAGGTTCCAAAGATTCTTTTTTTTTTTTCTTGGAGACAGGGTTTCTCTGTGGAGCTTTGGAGCCTGTCTTGGAACTCACTTTGTAGACCAGGCTGGCCTCGAACTCACAGACATTTGCCTGCCTCTGCCTCCTGAGTGCTGGGATTAAAGGCATGTGTCACCACCGCCTGGCAGGAGAAGGATTTTTTAAAAAAAATATAACAGTTGTATTGGTTCTTTGGGAACTTCAAACATACATGCAATGCATTTTAATCACACATCACTACTTCTCTGCCTAACTTCCAGATACTCTTGTGTCTTTTTCAGAAAATAACTGATGGAGCCCAATTTGTGCTGCCCACATATTCATGAGTGTGGGGCCATCCATTCATGAGTGAGGCAGGTCACCCTACCAGGAAGGTACAAGTTACTACAGTGGGTAGAGATCCATCATGAGGAAGCTTTGAAAACGCCGGCAACTCCTTTTGCTCTATCATATTTTCTCCTTTCTGTGGTATCCTAATTTTGAGGCAAACTGGAGCTAAGTTTGTGTCACCTAAACTTTTGGTATGCTTATTTAAAACGATCTACGAAAGATCCTGATCTCTCTCAGTGACAGTGCTATATGCCTCTGTCGGGTTATCTCCAGTTCCCATCGAAGACTAAAACACTAACGTGCCAAGTCTGAATGAGTGCTATGAGATTGTATCATAGCATGGGTCTGGTTTGCCTCTATGAGGACATTTGGATTATGCAGATGTCTTCTTTCTCAACATTTGATGTTCTTTCTCCAGCCATTGTTAAAACGCTGACCAGAAATAAAACAGCGTCTGGCAGATTTTAGTATACTCTGTGTGAAGCCTGGTTTCTTTCAACAGCCTGCGGCCCCCTGACTCGGAGTTCCTTTGTTTAAAAGATGCAAAGCTGGGAAGAACATTAATGTTTCCTTCGAATCACTCCTGGCGGCCTTCCACAGAGAACAGTCTACCCTGCCTCATGGCTAATAGATCTGCCGGGCTGATTTGTAAGTTAGGAAGACATGAGAAATGACAGTTGAAGTCGGGGCAAATGCACTAAGAGTAGCTTTATTAACAGTGAGGTGGCTGGGGCCCTCTGCTCTATCCAGATAGTAGTAGGTAGACAAGAAAACGATCCCTCGGCATTTGATGGCAGTGAGTGGCAGCAGCCAGCAGGCAAAAGCCCTGTAAAGTTAAGTCTCTCAGGCCAGCTTCCAGTACCAGAACCTTTAGTTCCTCAACTGTTCTAGCTAGTATCTCGACCTAGGGCCTATGTTGTGTTACCACTCCTATATACGTCTAGGAAGTTGGGGTTCCTTGTCATTGGCTTCAGCCTGTTGGGGATTCCTCAGCCCTAATCACTGGCCAGTGTTATAGCTATTGGCCTGGAGTGTCTAGACCAATGGTTCTCAACAAGCGAAGCGGGTCAAGACCCACCGCGGGGGTCAAATGCCCCTCTCACAGGGGTTGCACATCAGATATTTAATTACAATTCATAACCATAGCAAAATTACAGGTATGAAGTAGCAATGAAATACTTACATGGTTGTGGGTCACCACAGCATGAAGAAGTGTATTAAAGGGTCACAGCATTAGAAAGGTTGAGACCCACTGGTCTAGACCCTTGACACTCTAGATCTGACAGCTCTCTAGAGTTCTAGTGACCAAGGCTTATAATTTCCCTGCATCTTCTACCCTTCTTCAGCCTCTGCTGTTTGCGCTCTCTCGTCTTCTCCCTACGCCTCCCATCCTCCCATCCTGGATGTCTGCGACGGTTCAGCTGCCGCTGCTTCAGCTGTCAGGCAGCCGTGTGCGCCCATGTTTGTAGCTTGCCCTAACATGTACTCTTTTTGCGGCTTCCTTTTTGTTTCCAGATCATTCTGTACTACTCAGCACAGGGTAGAGGTGGAACCACTCCAGAGAAGCCTTTTATTGGATCTAATATTGTCATACCAGAGGGGGTCCACCAGCTGACGCTCTGAGTGAGCCTGGATAGGCTGCTAGGGTGGTCCAAGGAGAGCCACTTGGACCAACCACAGACACCTCACAGGCAAGCGGAGGTTTGTGTTTGCATCAGCTGTAGCCAGGCCCCTTCAGCACTCACCACGGTCATTTGTCTGCTAGCACCCCAGGGAAAGTTTGTCTCTTGGCCTATGGTTGCAATGTCATCTAGAGTTCAAAGAGGCTTTTGCAGCAAAAAGTCGTGATTGGGGATGCACTTCAGCAGCTGGGATCAGTGTGTGGTTTCCTCAAGGCCTCTGCCGAGGACTCACAATGGACTGTGCTGGCTGCTTAACTACAGTCCTTTTGCTCTAGGCAGCCAGGGCAGCGAGGGAGATTCCAACAGCTTCCAATTTGGAAGTCAAGTTGCTATGCCCCCAGTGTCTTTTCTCATCACAGGAAAATGAACATTAGAAGGAATACTTACAATAAGAAATTAAAAACTTACCAATTTTTAGAAATGATTTTTGTTGTTATTGTTTTTGTTTTTCGAGACAGGGTTTCTCTGTATAGTTTTGGTGCCTGTCCTGGATCTCACGCTGTAGACCAGGCTGGCCTCGAACTCACAGAGATCCGCCTGGCTCTGTCTCCCGAGTGCTGGGATTAAAGGCGTGCGCCACCGCCCGGCTTGAACAGATTTTTGATAGAGTTTTACAGAGGAAGAGACAGCTTCTCCCCTCTGTCATATCTCCTCACACAAATCGGGATGTTGGTGCTCAGGGCTGAGCAAAGATCCAAAGCACTAGGTCAAAACCAGGTTCAGTAAGGCAACTTTTGTGACTTCTTCCAGAGTCAGAGGGAGTCCAGAAGATGGACAGAGAGATGCACAGGAAGGAATAGGGAGGGATTTGCCTACCTATTGGCTGTTCAGCTCTTTATTAAACCAATCACAGCAGTATATCTTCACACAGTATACAAATATCCCACAGCACAGACAAAAAGAACAAATGTTAATTAAAACATTTTATTAATTTAGTGTGGGGTGTGTGTGTGTGGTGTTTAAGTCAGAGGACAAACTCCAGGAATTGCTTCTCTCCTTCCACCGTGTTGTGGGTTACAGGAATGAAACTCCCATCTTTAGGGTTGCTGGCCAGTGCCTTTACTGATGGAATCATCTTGCCATTACTAATCATTAATTTTTAAAATACATGTCTGTGGCTCACATCTTCAGGGAAAATGTAAAACTGAATGTACAAACATGGCTTGTTTTAGTTTTTGCAATGATTAAAAGCTGAAGCAGCTACACTACTCTGTGACTGTATTGAACACTTAAAGGCAAACCTGAGGGTATATCTGGGGAGAGAGGTGGCTCAGGGGTTAAGGATGCTGACTCGTGTTCCAGAGGAACTGGATTCAATTCCCAGGCTCTCCAGTGTCCGATCACACCAAGATAAAATTATAAAAATTTTTTTTAAAAAAGGAAGAGAGTGCCGGGTGGTGGTGGCGCACGCCTTTAATCCCAGCACTCGGGAGGCAGAGCCAGGCGGATCTCTGTGAGTTCGAGGCCAGCCTGGGCTACCAAGTGAGTTCCAGGAGAGGCGCAAAGCTACACAGAGGAACCCTGTCTCGAAAAACCAAAAAAAAAAAAAAAAAAAAAAAAAAAAAAAAAGGAAGAGAGTATATCTGAGTATATCTGGAATGTATAGCTCACATACCTACCATCTTACACATCCATTCTAGATCACAGATGAAACTATAAAATAGGAACATGGTTTAGCTATAATTTTAGCTAGCTACAGCTGTCAAATGAAAGGGAGTCTTAACTAAGGGGTTGCCCAGACCAGACTAGCCTGTGGGCATGTGTGTTGGGGACTGTCTTGATTATTACTTGATGTAGGAGGATCCAGCCCACTGTGGGTGGCACTATTTCCTAGGGAGGTTATCCTGAGCTGTATAAGAAAGCTAGTTAATACGAGTCAGAAAGAAAGCTAGCAAGCACATTCCTCTGTAGTTTCTGCCAAGTCCCTGCTTGGGTCCTGCCCTGAATTCCCTCAGTGATGGACTCTTCCTCCCCAAAGTTGCTTTTGGTCAGAGGGTTTTATCAAAGTAACAGAATGGAATTAGAACAGTTACTTTCCTCATTAGGTAAGATACCAGATAAGAATAAGTTAAGGAAGAAAGGGTTGGTTTTAGCGCACAGACGGAGGGTACAGTCCACCATGGATGGAAGTCAAGGCAGCTGAGTGCGGCCCTGGCCACTCTGTGAGGCAGCTGGCCACACTGTGTCCACGTGAAGCAGAGGAATGAACGCTGGTGCTCAGCTCCCTTCTCCCTTCCCCTTTTATTTAGCCTGGGGCTCCAGAGCAGGGGATTGTGCCATGCATATCCAGGGTGGGTCTTCCTCCTCAGCTAAAACTCTGTGGAAACTTCCACACAAAACGTGTCTTCTAAGTGACTAAATTTGTCAAGTTGATAATGAAGATTAGCATCCAAGAGCTCACAGATAGCATTTTCCTTACCCTTACTAGGTGGCTCTAAAACTGATTTTCCTGTGACGATCTTCATTTATTAGTTTTGTTGTATTTTAATATTCAATGGCTTTAAATTTTTCTTGACCTTAGGGCTATATGTCACACACACTCACACACACACACACACTGGATTTTTAAAGGAAAAATAGTTGGATACTTAACCATCTATGATAAAAGATAAAATGGGCTGAGTGTGGTAGAACACATGCCAAAAGCCCTGGATTCAATCTGTAGCAACCAATAAAAATAAATGTGACACTGGGTCTTAGTCAGTGTTCAATTGCTGTGAAAAGACACCATCCATGCTCACGGCAACCTTTATAAAAGAAAACATTTAATTAGGGCTTGCTTATAGTTTAAGAGGTTTAGTCCATTACCATCATGGCAGAGAGCATGGCAGCATGCAGGCAGACATGTTGCTGAAGAGGTAGCTGAGAGTTCTATATCTAGATCCACAGGCAGCAGGAAGATGAGACAATGGACCTGGCTTGGGCTTTTGAAACCTCAAAGCCTACCCTTAGTAACACACTTCCAACAGGGCCATACCTACTACAACAAGGCCACATTTCCTAATCCTTCTCAAGTAGTGCCACTCCCTGATGACTAAGCATTCAAATAAATGAACCCATGGGGTTCATTCTTATTCAACCACCACACACTGGAAAGTGCATAATTGTGTATAAAAGCTATAATTAAAAGGCTATTTCCACCAAATCTTATCTAAAATTCAATGTAAGTAGTAGTGCATATTACTAAGGGGGAAGATGTTTTCTTCTCAGTTCACTTACATTGTATTAATAATCATGGAAAGACTGGCACCCACAGTAACATTAACTACCCCCAGACTGACAGCCCCAACACTTGAGTAGTCCCTACCCATGCTGACTCCAGATTTGATTATAGGATTTGCTTTGGTCAGTACTGTGATCTGTACAGGCAGAGGCTCTATGTCTACATGCTGGCACACTGGGACTTGCCCTCTTATACTGACACTGTTGTCACTGTATGAAGCTAGATCTAGCTCCCTAGAGTGTAGAGACCATTGAGTTCTCCAACTGAACTAGTTGTCCAAAAGAACCCAAGTGAGACCAGGAGAAGCATGCCACCAAATACAGAATGAAGAAGAACTGGTTATTGTAATAGGCCACATTCAGTGGTGATTTCACATCAAGGCTTACACAAAATCTAATTTCTAGATATTTGACCTGAAAGGAAAATACATTATGATGATCAATACAATTCTCATGCTAAAGCTAACCATAGAATTGTATAATTGAAAAATGTAAAAGCTCTTTTCAATGTTTAAAATTAAATAATATGCAATAAATAGTATGGTATGCTTGAAAAGATTTATTTTCTAAAATTAAAAGCCTTTTAAAATATTATGATTTGAATATGTACTATAGTAAAACAATATAAAGTATATTGAAGTTAGTAAAATACTTTTAAAGGTGGGCCTGGAATTTTCCAAAAGGTAAGGAAGGATGTTAACATTCGAAAATATTGAAAGAATATAAACACTACTTTAAACAGAGTTCCCCAAAATTAAATTACAACCCATTCTTTGCATGAAGAATGAAATAAAAATTATACTTTATTAAAACAAGATTATAATAAGCCACAAGTCAAAAAAAAAAAGAATTTATCTTCAAATACCTAGTGCTTAATTAAATTCTATTCAGAAAAGAAAAAATACTGTTGTCACGGTTGAATTGCGGGACTCCTTTGGATGGCTATAAAGGCTAAGAGGATCCTAATGACATGAGAAAGACAAGACTCCTTTCCTACGAATATTAATAGTCTGGTGAGACTTCCTGCTACCCCTCAGCCTCACCCACTTACCGGACACTCACCCACTCACTACATTATCACCAGACATCAAGACACAAAGCAAAGCCTTCCTCCTGTAACCTTGGAAGGACCTTCTACTTACCCTGGGGCTGGAGACAAATAAATAAAAAATAAATAAATAAATAAAAATTCTGAAGCCAAATGTATTTTGCCTCCCAAGTGGACTTTAATATTTCAAAGTGATCCTTTTTGTTGAGATTTAGTTCTGTGAGAGTGGTTTGATCAGCTATTTTTGGAGTATTTATTTAATTTTGAGTGTGCATGTATGTGCTTGAGTGTACCCGTGTGCATCATGTGCCTGCAGGAGCTTGTAAAGGTCAGAAGGGACATTGGATCTCCTGGAACTGAAGTTATTGATGGGTGTGAGCCTCTGTGTGAGTGCTGGGAATTGAACCTGGGTCCTCTGCAAGGGCAGCCAGTGCTCTTAACCTCTGAGCCATCCCTCCCGCCCCTTGCTCAGCTGTTTTGAAGTTGGTTGCCTTTATTAGAAATGCAGGCTGAAGCCCAAGTCCTTAGTTACTGAGTCTTCCTTTAGTTTACGGTTGAAAGAATTCACTTCAACCCCAAATAGCCAGGATCTGAAATACAGAAACAAACCTTGTACAGAGGTTTCTTTCCTTCTTTCCTTTCAATTCTTTTCTTTCTTTTTTTTTTTTTACAAAGTTGTTTTTCTTTTTCTTTTTAATGTTATAGGTATACATGATTTAAAAGACCTAAGTAGTTTTGACAAGAATCCACATTCTCCAGGGCAATCCCTGGCACTGGCACTGGCACATCACCACCCTGACTTCCAGAGTGGAAAATGAAAGTTAACTTTTTTATTTTTAAAGACAAGGTATTTCTACATAGCCCTAGTTGTCCTGCAACTCTGTAGACCAGGCTGGCCTTGAACTCACAGATCCACTGGCCTCTGCCTCCCCAGTGCTGGCATGAAAGGCATGCAGCACTGTTCCCAGCCCCTCTTACCTCTCTTTTGTATGTACCCCACACCTTCAGCATGTGTTCATCTTCTAAGCCTCTTACACAGCTACGCTGTAATTTGTTCATTCTGCCCAAGTAAGAAAATGTCACTGACACCATGGGCCAATGTGATGCTCTGCAGGATGTCGAGAAGGTCCAGGTCTCCAGGCTATTTCATGAGTGCCATTAGAAAAGTCCTAGGACCAAATTGCAAATGTGCCCTTTTCTTTGTTTTGTGTAAATGCTGACAGTTTCTGGTCTTTCCTTATGTTTGGAATAAATAAAAACAAAACTACAGTCACCAAAATCAGTGATGTGTACAAATACCCAAGGCTGTATGAATCTGCTCTAGAAAATCCCTAACTTCTGGTACAGCAGCTCCATTCTTACCTACTAATAGGGTGAGTTTGCAGTAATCTGTCATTCCTCATCATCTGTGTGTGTGTATAATATATATTTGGTAGGGCCAGATGGTGAACCAAATGGGGATATGCTCTGCAGGTCTGTTTCCCTTAGATTCATAAGAGTGGCCCTAATTCCTGCTGCCCCCTCCTGAAATACAAAGTTATTTGTTTTCCTGTATGTTCAAATCTGATTATTTGTGATGGTATTTGTGAGTTTCTTGGAGAGAAATAGTTTATTTTCTTTGTCCTTTTGGTCTGTGGTAACATAAAACTACAGACTAGGTGGTTTATAAACATCAGAAATATATATCCAATGGTCTTTCGGGGTAGGAAGTCTAAGAGCAAGGCACCAAGAGCATCTATATTTGGTGAGAGGCTGCTTCCTGGTTGAATGCTTGTGTGTGGGAGGGACAAAGACATTCTCCACAATCTCTTTTTAAGGGCAGTTTATCCCATTCCTAAACACCTCCAAAGGACTCTGCCTCCAAATGTCACACTGGGAATTAGGTTTTACTATATGAACTATAGGAGACACATAGTATGTATTAGATAAGGTCATGAGAGTGGGCCTACCATGATGGGTGTGTGTGTGTGTGTGTGTGTGTGTGTGTGTGTTTCTTTTTGAGACAGTGTCTCATTATATAGTTTGGATCATCTCCAATTTATGATCCTCCTGCCTCAGTCTTCTGAGTACTGGGATTATAGGTATGTACCACCATCCATGTAGGGTAAAAGGGCCAGA